GCTTTTTTCTTTTTGCTTATGTGGTGCTGAGGAATCGAACCCAGGGCCTCAGGCATGCAAGGCAAGCACTCTACCACTGAGCCACCTTCCCAGCTAATGGTCTAGTTTTCTACTTTCTTACATATACCAGTCCTCAGAATATTTCTTTTTTTCTCTCTCTCCCTCCCTCCCTTGTATTTTGGGGGATTGAGTTTTGTTGTTTTTCTATTTTTTTAAAATAAATTCTCATTGTATTTTATACTATAATTTTCTAGATATTGTGTGATATATTGGGAGAAGAGTTAAATAGAAGCTTTTCTATTACTTTAGAACTTAAAAGTATTAGTACCATCCTAAGTAACTGCAAAATAATGTCAAGTACCATATATTTATTCAAATAACTGTTAATTGGAAACATTTTAATCTCCCTTGATCATATAGTTAAGAAATCTTGAATGGTTTCATAATAAAAATAATTCAAAGTACAAAATGTTATATACCAAAGAATTTTATAGATTTGTATTCATAAACTTATGAACATTTATTAAAACATATACTAATGTAAAATTGTGCTTTTATAATATATAAAATATATAAAACAAATACTTAAATATTTAATTTTATTGGTTAGTGTAAGTATAAAATTTTTAGAATTGATACTGTTATAATTTTAGTAAATGCTTTTTTTTAAGGTACCAGTATTTTTTGCAAATTAAACAAGACATTCTTACTGGAAGGTAGGCTATTTTTAATTTTTTTATATATAATACTTTATAAGTACTTTAATTCTGTATTATTGAAGTAATTTATAATCATTGAAAACAAATAATCTATTAAAATGAATACTTGTATAAATTCTTTTTATCAGATGAGTTGATTTCTTAATAGTTAAGAGTAATTCATTTCTTAAAAGTTAAAACTGAGTCACATACAGTCATCTAAAAAGTTATCCAACTTAAGTAGAAAGCAATGCTATATATATGAAGAGGTGATTACAAGACCTTTTTGAAAAAAATATTTCATTTGAGCACAGTTGATATATACAGGTGATTCTCATGTTTACTGTATAAACTGGTTTAGTATATTTGGAATATAGTTGTATTACATTTACCGTCTGAGAAAGCTAGCTTACCACACACTCACACTTACAAATGATTTCCATAAGAAAAGCCACTTAAAAAGTTTATTCTGAAACTAGTTCTTTTACCCTACTGTAAAATAATTACTGACTAGTGTTTCTAAGCATTCCTGAGAAATTGAAAGTGGCTACCTTTCATGTCAGAATGTTGATTTATTATAAATAAGATGTTTTTGCATAAACAAGTCACATTGAAACTTGAGTGTGAATAACATAAATAATAGCAATTTTAAAATTACTAGTTTAACTATAGATTATGTATTTTGTTTTATTAGATTGCCTTGTCCTTACAATACTGCTGCCCTTTTAGCTTCATATGCTATTCAATGTAAGTATCCACCTACTTTTTTAAGTTCAATAGCATGCAGTGTTATAGCCTTTTTGGACTGCCTTTAATGTGGAAGCTCTTTAGACATGTTACTGTATAGAAAATAGAAACTACAGAGGAAATGGATTTCCAATTAGCATTTACTTTGATTCTTGAAAAAAAAAATTTCTAAAATTACTGGAGACCTAGAAAAATCTTAAATGAATTACTGCAACTTGCTTAGTTACATTAGAAATATAAATTGCCAAGTTTAGTGGCTCTAGCCCTGTAATCTTTGTTACTTGAGTGGCACAGATCAAGAGACTATGGATCAAAGCCAACTCAAGCTAAAAATTAACAAAGAGTCCATCTCCATTTGTACACTAGCTGAGCCCAGTGGTGAATGCCTGTCATCCTAGCTACACAGGAAGCACAAAAAGAAGGATTGCAGTCCCAGGCCAGCCCAGGCATAAAATAAGATCCTATCTCAGAAAATACCCAACTATGGGCTGGGAAGGTGGCTCAGTGGTAGAGCGCTTGCCTTGCATGCTTGAGGCCCTGGGTTCAATTCCTCAGCACCACATAAGAAAAAAGCCAGAATTGGCGCTGTGGCTCAAGTGGTAGAGCGCTAGCCTTGAGCTGAAGAGCTGAGGGACAGTGCCCAGGCCCAGAGTTCAGGCCCCATGACTGGACCCCCCCCAAAAAAAAAAATACCCAACTCCAAAAAGGACTGATAGCGTGGCTCCAGTGGTAAAGTGCCTGGCTAGCCAAGCATGAGGCTCTGAGTTCAAACTTTGTATCATCAAAAAAAAAATTTAATTAATATTTTACTTCCACAAATACATTGAAATTGAAGTGTGAAATTTTCTGTTTATTATTAGCTGAACTTGGAGACTACAATCAATCAGAAAATTTGCCAGGCTACCTCTCAGAGTATTCTTTCATTCCTAATCAACCTCAAGATTTTGAAAAGGAAGTTGCAAAATTGCATCAACAACATATGTAAGGATTTATTTTGTTTTCTTTTTACTTGGTAATCTTCTTCTTCGTCTTCTTTTTATTTTTTTGGTCTGTTGTGGGGCTTGAACTTTGGGCCTGGGCGCTGCCCCACAGCTCTTCAGCTCAAGGTGAGTGCTCTACCATTTGAGCTACAGTGCCACTTCCGGTTTTCTGGTGGTTTATTGGAGATGAGGGTCTCACGGACTTTTCCTTCCCCAGCTGGCTTTGAACCTCAATCCTCACTCTCAGCCTTCTGAGTAGCTAGGAGTACAGGCGTGAGCCACCAGTGCCCCGCTAAAAACATATACCAGTAAGATTACCAGTAAGTTTGCTGGGCTCCGGTGGCTCACGCTTGTAAACCTAGCTACTCAAGATGTTGCGATATGAGGATCGTGGTTCAAAGCCAGCTTGGGCAGGAAAAGTCCATGAGACTTACCTCCAATAAACCACCAGAAAACCGGAAGTGGTACTGTGGCTCAAATGGTAGAGTGCTCACTTTGAGCTGAAGAGCTGCGGGACAGCGTCTAGGACCAGAGTTCAACCCCACAACCGACCAAAAAAAATGTTTTTAATTATTTCTACAGTTTTAAACACATAATTCCCCATCTTATATATTGAACAAAAATTTTTGTAGAACAGTTCATTGTATCTGCTTTTGTGGCAAATTGTTGGTGCCCTTTTGAAGTATCATTGAATAAAAGGTTGATATCTTTACTTTTATAGTTTTACCTTGTGGTCTAATGTGGTTTAATTGCATCAGATAAGTAGAGTTGTTAGTTACATTAGATAAATCAAGTAAATCTGTTTTTAAAGGCTACAGTTAGAACAATAGTTTTACTTATATTCATAAGTCATCAGACATGGTTTTCTTAAGATATTTATTTTTTATCCCTAAGTAGTTGTGCAAAGAAGTTACCATTTAGCAAAGCAGTTAAAGTCATTGTGTTATTTATATTTTGAAATATATACTAAAAATTAATTGCTTGTGAAACAAAATGGAGAAATGAAGCAAAAATAAAAAACACAAGTCATGTTTTTTCACTATTAAATTCAACTGGCATAAAATTATCCTGGCCAATTGCTATAAAAATCTCTAGCATTTCTGTACTTATGAATCAACCCCTGTCTATATACTGAACGCTGAAAAGCGCTATCTTAGAGGTTGCCTTAAAATCTGCATGTTTAAAAACATAGATTTAAATGTAGTTACGGTATATGAACCATCCTTTGCAGTGTGTTCTTAATATGTTAGATGTTACCATATAAAACCAAGAGAATAATAAATGAATGGTAGTTTGTAAAAGATTTAATTAGACTTCTCATTTCCCTGCACAGCTGTTTTCTAACTTGGCCATACTTAAAAATGAATCTGATTTTTAAACTAATAATTCTTTATAGAGGCTCATCTCCTGCAGAAGCAGAATTTAATTACCTAAATACAGCACGTACCTTAGAACTCTATGGAGTTGAATTCCACTATGCAAGGGTAAGTGAAGAAAACTTCTTTGAGAGCCTACATTATTCAGTATTTTTTAAATAAGTGTGTGTGTGTGTGTGTGTGTTTGTGTGTGTGTGTGTGTGTGTGTGTGTGTGTGTGTGTTTTGCTAGGGACTGAACTCAGGATTTAATACATACTAGGTAAACCCTCTTTACTGAAAAAATTTTAAATTTCTTGAAAGGATTAAGTAATAAATGGAATAATTGTGACTTGTTTCAACCAAAAATGTATTGAAATAATTCTATTTTGACAAACACAGTAAGATGTTTTGTCTACCTTCAAATAGAACCAAATTACAGATCTCAAAATTCAAAAGTGAAATGAATCTTATAGCATTTTCGTTGTGTTAACTATTCTGTGCCTTCCTCCTTATTTGCATTCAAGATTACTTAGTGAACAAAGCATCATATATTCCCTGCTCTTATGGAACTCTCAGAATAGTGGAGGAGAAACACATGGGAAAGGAAAAACAGCATTCCAAGTATACTAGGAATCATAAATCTAAAAGGAATTCTTAGTTTACTTGAAATGTTGTTCCTGTTCTTCCATTGTTAATAATGGAGAAGGAAAGGAACAACAGAACAATTACAATTTTTATTCTTAAGTTTTCTATCTACTCTGGGTATCACTCTAAGGATTGTTCAATATATCTGATCCATTAATTATTGTTTTCAACTATTACAGATTTTTCATGATTTCTCTGATGTTTTATGATATTTGGGGCAAAATGTAATTTAGAGCGTTCATTTAAACCTTCTATCTTACATGCTTTATCTGCCATCTTGATCCCAACTTCTAATTGATATCCTTCGGAACACAATTTAAGATTATAGTAATAGTATATAGCAGTGCTTGCTATTACTAAGTAGAAAAAGCAGCCAGACAATACATAATTACATTTGACCATTTGTTATGTCTTGCCCTGTCTATCTGATAAGATTTTATTTAGGTAGAAATTATTGAAATTATAATGTAAAGGATTTGTTTTGGGGTTTTTTGTTTCTGTTTTTTTGGTCAGTCATGGGCCTTGAACTTTGGGCTTGGGTGTTGCTCCTTCAGCTCTTCAGTTCAAGGCAAGTGCTCTACCACTTGAGCCACAGTGCCACTTCCAAGGATTTGTTTGGGGATCATAATTTTAAAATCCTGTTTATATTTTCATCAATTAGCTCTATGGCTGAACAACTAAATGATGGGAGATAAAATCATGCATGCTGTATTGGGCTGTATTACACTGCCTGTAGAATATTTCGTGTAAAGAGGTTAAAAAAAGACATTTCAAAATTAATTTTCATCTGCTGGAAGCTGGTGGCTCACACCTGGAATCCTAGTTACCCAGAAGACAGAGATTTGAGGACTAACGTTTGAAGCCAGGCCAGGCAAGAAAGTCTATGAAACTGTTTTCTCTAGTTAACCAGCAAAAAAGCCAGAAGTAAGGTGTGGCTCAAGTGGTAGAACACTACCCTTGAGCAAACAAACTAAGCAGTAACACCCAGTCCCTAAGTTCAAACTCAGTACTGGCACCAAAAATAAAAATTAGCATCTAAGGAAAATGTTTTAATTCTTCCATTCTCTCAATTTGAATTGTGGTCAGTTAGTATGAAAGTCGTCAAGACCCAATTTAAATTTTCTCTTATGGGGTCTTTAAAACTCTAAGAATCATTCTCTATTCTCTATGATGTTTTTAATTACTATGTTAGTTTTAAGAGTTCTCACTGTATTGTCAATACTGTTTTGTTTTTGTTTTGATCTGGTCGTGGGGCCTGAACTCTGGGCCTGGATGCTGTCCTTCAGCTCTTCAGCTCAAGGCTAGCACTCTACCACTTGAGCCACAGCGCCACTTCCGGTTTTTTTTCTTTTTTGCTTATGAGGTGCTGAGGAATCGAACCCAGGGCCTGCATGCATGCATGCAAGGCAAGCGCTCTACCACTGAGCCACCTTCCCAGCCCTAATACTGTTTTATTACAAGTTTCACTTCACCAAAGAGTCAGTCCTAGTAATAAGTTACAAGAAATTGTAAGATTATTTTTGGTTTAAAGTAATTAACTTAAATAATTCAACTTTTAAGTTAGTTTGAAATTTGTCTTTTATTTTTACCAAGTAAAAATTTCTAGTTGTGTTCATAACTATAAGCAATTCTGTATTGTGTTTGAAAATGTCAGATTGTGTTAACAAAGTTAATTCTGTTTCAAAAGCTTATCATAATTTTATATTTGCTTTGCATTTTTTATTACAGGATCAAAGTAACAATGAAATTATGATTGGAGTGATGTCAGGAGGAATTCTAATATATAAGAATAGGGTACGAATGAATACTTTTCCATGGTAAGAACTTCTGTCAATACTTTTTCTTTTATTGTTATTTTACCAAATACAATCATTAATATTAGCTGAAAGCATGGCTTATGTGACAGCACCAGCCTAGGAAGATCCCAAGTTTAAGTCCCAATACCACCAAAACAAAAACAATAATTTATGTTTAAGAAAATAGCCACTGAACTATTTTAATATTACCAGTTTACTTCTGTGATGTAGTTTATAATTTATACTTGGATAGGGGAAGATAGCAAAATAATCTATCCCAAATAACTTAATAAAAATACTAATTATGGATTTTTCTCTTAGACAGTCTCTTAGAATATACTATAATTATATTATAGTGTTTAACTCTTGTCTTTCATCCCATCAAGTATCATAAGCATAATGCTTTATTTAAATACATTAATTGGAATACTAGTTCATTAGCTGAAATATAAACATGGCTACTCTAAGAAATGCTCAGTATTAACAGAGGCTTAAATTGATGCAAGCAAAGCATGGTGGCTTCCATAAAGTTTTAAAACTCAAGGTTTTTTTTGTCATATTGTTCTGTTGTCTCTGGCATACTGTCTTTATCCTAACTGTCCAGGTTAAGTTACCACTGTCAGTGATGTATGTAGAATAAGGGAAAAGGAAAGTATCTTCCACTTCCCTCTAAGAGATATCATGATAATTGTGAAAATCAATTTGATCATATTATGTGTATATCTAACGTCTTGTTTGTGGGTAGGGAGGTATAAGCGTGAAATGTAGGTTGTTCTTGTAAATAAACATAATGACTTAGGGGAGATGAATTGCAGCAAAGCTACTAAATTAATCTGGAGTGTCTGTTGTTAGTCACTTAACAACTCCTTAGAAGAAAATATGATTTCTACTAGAATATTTTAGGACATTGACAAATTTTTCTTAAAAAGAAAAAAAAATAAGTTTTCTAGATAGGTCACTAAAACCACAAATAATACCATAAAGAATTGGTAAAATGTGTCTGGGGACTGATGGCTCAAGCCTGTAATCCTACTTACTCATGAAGCAAAGATCTGATGGTTGAGGTTGGAAACCAGTCCAGGTAGAAAAGTACACGAGATTGTTATCTCTAACTAGACAGCAAAAAGCTGAAAGTATAGATGTGGCTCAAGTGGTAGAGTGCCAGCCTTGAGCAAAACAGCTAAGCAAGGGCCAGAAACTGGTGGCTCACACTTATAATCTTAGCTACTCAGGAGATCTAAGGATCTCGGCTCAAAGCCAGAAAATCAATGAGACTCTCCCATATACTGGGCCCACCAAAAGGAAAAAAAAAACGACTAGTAAGTGAAGCAGTTGGCCAAGTGGTAGAGCAGTAACCTTAAGCAAAAAAGGTAAAAGACAATGTATAGGCCCTGAGTTCAAGTCCCAGTACTGGCATTTAAAAAAAAAACTCAAAAACAAAGCTAAGCAAGCTGGGCAATGGTAGCTTGCCTGTAATCCTAGCTACTCAGGAGACTGAGATCTGAGAATCGAGGTTCAAAGCCAGCTTGGGCAGGACAGTCCACAAGACTCTTATCTCCAATAAACCACTCAGAAAACCAGAAGTTGCACTGTGGCTCATTTGGTAGAGTGCTTGACTTGAGCTGAAGAGCTGAGGGATAATGCCCAGGCCCAGAGTTCAAGCCCCACAACCAACCAAAAAAAAAAAAAGAAAGAACAAAAAAACAAAGCTAAGCAAGATCTCAAGGCCTTGAGTTCAATACTGGCTCTAGGACCGGGGAAAAAAAGTAATTGATAAGTAGATTTTGTTTTTGTTTTGTCAGTTGTGGGGCCTGAACTCTGGGTCTGGGCACTGTCCCTCAGCTCTTCACCTCAAGGCTAGTGCTCACCACTTGAGCCACAGCTCCACTTCTGGCTTTTTCTGCTTATGTGGTGCTGAAGAATCGAACCCAGGGCCTCATGCATGCAAGCCAAGCACTCTACCATTGAGCCACCTTCCCAGCCCCGATAAGTAGATTTTGTTAAAGAATTTCTGTCCATTCTTTTTATTATTTTTTTTTGCTGGTACTAGGACTTGACCTCTGTTCCTGAGGGGTTTTTTGTTGTTGTTGTTTACTGAAGGCTGGTGGTATTCTACCACTTTAGCCACAGCTCCAGTTCTGATGTTAGTGGTTAATTAAAGATAAGAGTCTTGTAGACTTTCATGCCTGGGCTGACTTTGAACTGATCCTCAGATCCCAGCTAGGATTACAGGCATGAACTACCTATTCCCAGCTTTATTTTGTGAAAGGGACTGAAAATGTAAAAACAAGAGACAAATCTTATCTGATGAAGGACTTAGGTCAAAAATATAGAAAGAATTCTAATACCACAATAATAGCCTATTGAAATGAATAGGTAATATGTTTGAATAGACACTTCCATCAAAAATATATGTGGGCTGGGAAGGTGGCTCAGTGGTAGAGTGCTTGCATTGCATGCCCGAGGCCCTGGATTCGATTCCTCAGCACCACATAAGCAGAAAAAAATGTGTGTGTGTGTGTGTGTGTGTGTGTGTGTGTGTGACAGTTAAGTATATGAAAAGATTTTTAGTCATCAGTGAAATGCAAGTTAGAAATGCAGTGAGCTCTACCTCTTACCAACTATGTAGAAAAGTAGTTAAAAAGATAGAGTATCAAGTAGTACTAGGAAGCAAATAATTAGAAAAATGTTACTGATAGCAGTGCAAACAACTTCATGAATTTAAGGTTAAAAACAAATGTATCATTTAATCCAGCAATTCTGTTCCTATTTACTCAGGGAAACCTAACTTTTTTATACGTATTTGTCCATAATATTCATAGCTACAGTCTGTATGATAACCCAAAATTAAAATCCAAGTGTTTACCAACTGAAAAAATAAGCAGATTATATCCACAGAATGGAATTCTGCTTAGCATTAAAAAGATTTAACTATTGATATACTAAAGCATATGAATGATCCTACCCTTAATTCATTATGCCAAGAATAAGAAGCCAGCCACCAAAGACTGCATTACTTTTTACTTCTATTTCTAGGAAATTGTATAATAGACAGATCAGCAAACTCCCAAGGGCTATGGTCTTATTAATAGACCTTGAGAGATCAGTAAACATGTATTTGAATTTATTTGGTTATAGTAAGGAAAAAATAAATTTATAAGGAGCATCAAGGAACCTTTTGGGGTGATGTGATGATTGTTGTGGATAGTGAATCTACAACTGAACTCTATTCACTTGTAATTGGTAAATTCAGTTGCATATGAGTCTATTGCATATCTCAGTTACATATCTGTAAAGCTAATAAAATCAGAGGTCATTTGGTATTTATTCTCACATCTTTTAAATATGTCCTTTGTCACTGAAATTGTGGCATGTTCAGTGACATACAAAACAACCAAAGAAATAGTCCCTTCCTATCAGTATAGATACGACACACAGAAATCAATTTCATCTTTCACTTTACACTGTATGTAAATGTCATCAGAAATCAGTACTGTTAAGATGACATGGCTTGAAATAATAATAATTAAATTTTCTGTATTTTCAAAATTAAACTATATATAGTGTTTTGGTTATTATAAAATGACTAGTTTTTTATAAGTTTGTGGTTTGAACCTATAGCCTTGTGTTTGCTAGACAGTTTTCTATTTTATTTGTTGCTTGTTTGATGGCTCTTGATAGAAATTAATTTATAACTTCTACAATATATGTAGCTCTTCATAGGGTTTTTAAACTTGAGATATCTGTCTTCCTCGCTTTCAATAAATACAGTCTTATTTTTGTGTGTGTGTTACTTTGGTTGGTTATGGAGTTTGAACTATGAGCCTGGGCGCTGCCCCTGAACTCTTCAGCTCAAGGCAAATGCTCTACCACTTGAGCCACAGTTCCACTTCCAGTTTTCTGGTGGTTTATTGGACATAAGAGTCTCACGGACTTTCCTGCCCGGGCTGGCTTTGAACATCAGTCCCCAGAGCTCAGCCTCCCGAGTAGCTAGCATTACAGGCATGCGCCACTGGCGCCTGGTACAATCTTTCATTTTAACCATTCTTTTTCTTTTTTTCACTTTCTGAAAGTAATATCCTCTTTCATATGGCAACAGACTGTCATATTCTCCCATGTTATGATATTCTTGTCCAATGAAAGCTCAGGATGTAAGAGTAAAATAAAATTTCAAACCTAAAAAAACAACCATATCCTTTTCCCCATTCTAAATAAACATTTTATTTGCCTCGTCATGTGATTACTTTGTCAAAAAAATATATTGTTTGAGAATTTTCACAGCTTCTTACTGGATAGAGCCAAGGTCATGGCTATAAGATCACATTACAATAAAAGTACTTCAGAAAATTGGGACAGAGTCCTAAAGCAAGTTTTGCAGAGTAATAATTCTGCCGTTTTTACTACCAGGAGGTCAAGAAATATATTTTAAAATGTATTTGGTTGGTACTGGGAAGGTGGCTCAGTGGTAGAGTACTTGCCATGAGACCCAGGGTTTGGTTCCTCTGCACCACATAAGCAGAAAAAGCTGGAAGTGGCACTTTGGCTCAGGTTTTAGAATACTAGCCTTGAGCTAAAGAGCTGAGGGACAGTGCCCAAAGTTCAGGCCCCACAACCAATCCCACCCCCCCCCAAAAAAGAAAATGTATTTGGTTATAGTAAGTAGAAAAGTCAATTTGAATCATACTGCTGATATTAATGATTCTTGAAAACTTATAATGTTATAAGAAAAAAAAGACAATGTAAAGATATAACATGAAAAATGTGCTTTTTAAAGTCAGATAAATGTTTTTAGGGTCTTTGCCAAAAACTTCAGTTTTCAAGTTTTTTTAGGTATGGCAGTTTTAAAGAAATTGTTATATTTCTTGAATATCTAAGTTTTTGAAATAGAAATTTTTTTCTAAGTACACAGTTGGGAAATAATTCACATTAGATTCTTTGATAAAAATGTTCCTCATTGAACACATAGATTTTAATTCATTTTTAGTGCAGCACCAAAAATATACTGTATGTAGAATATATGATAAAATACTAGTCAATATATACATAAAAGATCATTGTTTTAAATTTTCTTCCTTCATATTTTTATCTTCCTTCTATATCTTAAATATTTCAATTATCTTTTTGGCAGGTTGAAGATTGTAAAAATTTCTTTTAAGTGCAAGCAGTTTTTTATTCAACTTAGAAAAGAGTTGGTGAGTGTTGATCTGATAATTACTTATATATAAGTGAAGAGTTTTTTATTGTGAAAATACTGTACAGAAGGGTTACAATTACATGGGTAAGATAATGAGCACATTTCTTATCAAGCATTGTAGCCTCCTGCTTTGTTTCCCCCTCCCATCCCCCCCCCCCCGTCCTCCCCCCACCCCCTTCATTCCCACCAAAGTTGTAAAGTTCATTTTTCGACATAACGATTTGTACATCTCATTGTTGCAATGGGTCCTCCTGTATTCCTGTTTTAACAATTTGTTTTTTCCCTTCCCTTCCACATATACCAACATCGTATATAGTGAAAGCAGGGGTTATACCATGGGGGAGGGACATACAAGGCAACAAAGACATAATCTTATAAATATGTTAGAAACAATTGCATGAAAGATCTCTCTCTTTTTTTGGTCAGTCGTGGGGCTTGAGCTCTAGGCCTGGAAGCTGTCCCTGAACAATTCAGCTCAAGGCTAATGCTCTACCACTTGGTTGTTGTTTTTTTAATTGTGGTTAAGTGATTGCATAATTTCCCAAATTTCACAGTATTGTGGAATAATGATGCTCATTTAAAGTCACAAGCTCATTCTAAAGTGAAGAGTTTTTTTTTAACCTAGTTATTCATGTCAGAACTTTGTACCACTACAAATGGAAGTACAGTTATTGACTGCTTACTGAGTTAATTAACTTTTTATGATTAGGTGTATTTGTTTCTTTGATATCTGTATGGTTCTGATTTGAATTTCTTGTAGCTATTTTATCTTATCTCTTGAAGTTAGAAGCTATCCCATACATGATGTTCCTTGTTAAACCCAGGGTCATTCATGATGGTAATAACTAAATGTTCTGTACATCCTTTTCCTTTTTTCTACTGAATCTATAGACCCAAACTTAATTCATTTTAGGAGATCTGCGTGTTTAGTTTTAGTTTATTTAGTTTATTTCTTCCCTGTGTTAAAGTGTCAGCAGTGAAGCTTTTTTTATGTTAACTACAGCAGATTGACCTGACATGGAAAGTATTCCAGTCTAAACAATTTTATTCTGTGAATTATTTCATCTGTTCTATAGAAGTAAACTAACCTTGGGCTGGGAAGGTGGCTCAGTGGTAGAGCGCTTGCATGAGGCCCTGGGTTCGATTCCTCAGCACCACATAAGCAGAAAAAAAAAAAGCCGGAAGTGGCGCTGTGGCTCAAGTGGTAGAGTGAGCCTTAGCCTTGAGGTGAAGAGCTGAGGGACAGTGCCCAGGCCCAGAGTTCAGTCCCCACGACCGGACCCCCCAAAAAAAGTAAACTAACCTTGCCAGGTATGGTGTCATGTGCCTATAGTCTGAGCAGAGACAGGAGGATCAAGAGCTAATGACTAATTTGGGTTTTACTAAAAGTCAAATTTCTGTCTCACACAACCTAAATGGACATGTACATGCATACATATATAATATACATTATCGTCGTATATATATATATATACATTATCATTGATTTACATTATTTCTTAGAAATCTGAGAATCTTTTCAAATTGAATTTCAAAATGGTTGTATTTGTGTAAAATGTACTTAAAACCTTAAAAATGTCTTTGAAGCAGCTGCTTCAAAGATAGTGATTTATTGTCTATCACTTGCGTTCACAAAATTTGGAGGATATTTTGTTGATCCTTATTAGTAGCCAGGAAAAGGTATGAATTACGGTCAGTTTGTGCTACTTCATTTTGCCAACTTGCAAAATGAAAAATTACTTTATGTTTTCACTCGTATTTGGAAAATAGACATAAAATTATTATGATAGTAATGATAATAGGACATGAGTCTAAAAGAAGGACTGAAGAGATCACTGGAGGAACAAGGAAGAGAAAATGTATTAGGTAGGTAGAGAAGATCAAAATACGTTTTATAAACAAACACACTGAGACAAATATGATAGGTCTAATGAAACTCACCAAACATTGAAAAGGAGATTGTGAAGAAGGTAGTTAAGAAAATGTAATATAGAAAATTAACTTGTTCAAAGTACGCTATATATGTATCTATGGATATCACAAGGAAGACCCCTTGTACTGTCAATGTTTGCTAATAAAAATAGTTCATGTCATTAACCAGTAGTTGGTGAATATATAGATCAAACCGTATAGGTGGAAGGGAAGTATACATTAACCTAAACTTCAAAAAAATTGTTGACATTACCCACTAAAGCTTAACATAGCTTATGATCCAGCAATAGAAATGTACACATACACATATATACACCAAATAGAATATAGGAATATTGGTACAATATTCTTACATCCCCAAACTGGAAACACCAAATATCTGTAAAGTGATGATCAGTGATGGTGTGCTCATTAGTATAGAAAACTATGAAGAAGCTGGGTGCTGGTGGCTTACACCTATAAACTTAGCTATAATCCTATCTAAGGATTGGTGGTTCATAACTAGCCCAAGGAAGAAAAGTTCATGAGGCTGTTAATTTTTTTTTTCTGTCAGTTGTAGAGCTTGAACTTGGGACCAGTGCACTCTCTGTAGGCTCATTTTACTCAAGGCTAGCACTGTACCACTTTGAGCCACAGTACCACTTGCAGTTTTCTGGTGGTTAATTGGAGATAAGGTATCTCACAGACTTTCCTGCCTGGGCTGGCTTTGAACTGTGATCCTCATATCTCAGTCTCCTAAGTAGCTAGGATTACAGGTGTTAGCCCCTAGCCCCTGACTTCCATGACTGCCAGTAAGCTACTGAGGAAAAGCCAGAAATGGCACTATGGCTCAGGTGTTGGAACATTAGCCTTGAGCAAAAGAAAACTCAGGAATAGCACTCAGACCCTGAGTTCAAGCCCAAGGACTGGCAAAAAAGGAGGAAGGAAAGAAGGAAGGAAGGAAATGAATCATTGTGTCACAACTCTAGTACATCAGAAGCATAATGTTGAACAAAAGAAGACAGACCTAGATCAGAAAGAGCCACGCTGTTCAAGCCCCAATACTGGCACAAAAATGGATAAATCATAAGTAAAAAACAGACCTAAAGACAGAATATAATTCCAAATATATATACAGGTCAAAAACAAGTATAACTCATCTGTGGTCATGAAAGTTTTTGAAGCCGGGCACTGGTGGCTGACACCTGTAATCCTACCTATTCAGGAGGCTACGATCTGAGGATCACAGTTCAAAGGCATCCAGGGCAGGAAAAGTCCGTGAGACTCTTATCCCCAGTAAACCACTCAGAAAACCGGAAGTGGCACTGTGGCTTAAGTGGTAGAGTGCTATTCTTGAGCTGAAGAACTAAGGGACAGTGCCCAGGCCCAGAGTTCAAGCCTTATGACTGACAAAATAAAAAATTAAAATTAAAAAAGAAAGAGAGAGAGAAAGGAAGAAAGAAAGAGGGGCTGGGAAGGTAGTTCAGTGGTAGAGTGCTTGCCTTGCATGCATGAGGCCCTGGGTTCGATTCCTCAGCACTACATAAGCAGAAAAAGCCAGAAGTGGCGCTGTAGCTCAAGTGGTAGCATGCTATCCTTGAGGTGAAGAGCTAAGGAACAGGGCCCATGCCCAGAGTTCAAGCCCCACGACCAGAAAAAAAAAAGTCTTTGAAGTGATTTGGTGCAAAGGGAGACAGGACACTACAGAGATAGTGACCCATTTCTTAACCTGAATTGAGGGTAAATGGTTACATTCAGTATGTGAAAATCAGAGCTCCCTACTCATAGGACAGGTCTTTTGCTATATTTGGTTTACTTAAGTGACAGTAGTTAGTGATTTGGCCAAACTTTTTAAAAATAACTACTAATAGTGATACGCATTTTCAAATTTCCTAAAGTGGAAATGTTGCATATTTTTATTTTCATATGTGTATAGAATCGAGTCATAATTGCAAATTAATAAACTTATTACAAAATTTAATCTATGAACAAGAATTAAATTTTGAAATACAGACAATACATTTTGAATATATTAATTTATTTCTGTCATCCAGGGGAGAAGTTCTTCGAAGTTATGAAATTACTGAATTTGGTCCATATTTTCAGATATTTTTATTTATTTGACAATTTTTTATTGTTGTTGGTCAGCAGAAAAAGATTCTGAGGATTAATGTGTTCAAAGCTAGGCTAATTTTTCTGTCCAAGTAAATAAAATAGAGCTTTAGATCCTGAGGTATTCTCTGTATTTTGTCATTTATTACAGCACGAGTCTAGAGAAACATTACTGGGATTTAATATGGTGAACTACAGAGCATGCAAAAATTTGTGGAAAGCATGTGTAGAACATCACACATTCTTCCGTTTGGACAGACCACTTCCACCTCAAAAGAATTTTTTTGCACATTATTTTACATTAGGTTCGAAATTCCGGTACTGGTAAGTATTACTTTTGTTTAGACTATTTTGTTAGACTGTTTTTTCCCTTTGAAATAAAGGCCTAGTTTTTTTGAACAATGGAATCACTGTTACTCATATAAACCGACAGAGTCAAAATCCCCAGAGTACTACGTCTGTATTAGTAAGAAATTCTGTGGCTTCTTGTGATAGAGAGTTGGCTTGAGAAACTTGTTCCATTGTCCGTACTTTGTTTATGCTCTACACAGATATTATAGTTTTTCTTGTAGTTATTAGCTAACTTTTTTCCAAGACATGTTTATTAAAAGCCAAGATATATTTTGTATGAAGATATAATTACTTTTGTTTGTATGTGTGTAAGCTGGTAGGGAAACTTGAACTTGGCCTAAGTGCTTGTCTTTGAGCTTTTTTGCTCAAGGCTAGCACTCTACTTCAGCCACACCATCACTTCCAGTGGTGGTGGTGGTTTGGTTTTAGTTTTAGGGGGTTTTTGGTAGTTAATTGGAGATAGGCGTCTCATAGACTTTCCTGTCTGAACTGGCTTCAAACCTTGATCCTCAGATCTCAGCTTCCTTAGTAGTTGGGGTTATGCAAGGCTATCCAGATGATTTTTACAAGGACTTATACTACAAAGGACTTATCCTCTGATAGAACGGTTCTATGTTGTCTTACAGGAAAGTGGATTTCTGCCGACCGTTCCTTACCCTTTCCCTTTCATTACTTTAATAGAGAAATGAAAAGAAGCAAGTATTCTCCAACTGTAGTTCAAACAGGTCTTTATAGGTCTTAGAGGAAAAAAAAACCAAGGACAATAACCCAAACCATAGCACAGCAAATAGAAAATCTAAATGTGATAAATACAAATAGAAAAGGTAGTTGGAAAACTCAGTTTGGAAGAAAATCATCACTGAAACAGGGAAATTTCTACATAGATATTAATTTAAAACAACAACAAAAGCCAGGTGCCAGTGGCTCATGCCTATAATCCTAGCTATTCAGGAGGCTGAGATCCGAGGATCGAGGTTCAAAGCCAGCCCAGGCAGGAAAGTCTGTGAGACTCTTATCTTCAATAAACCACTAGAAAATCAGAAGTGGCACTATAGCTCAAGCCATAGAGCACTCACCTTGAGCTGAAGAGTGCAGGGACAGTGCCCAAGCCCAGAGTTCAAGCCCCATGACCAACAACAAAAAAAAAAAAAAACCAACTAAGCTCAAAAAAGATTGGTTTAGAGGAAAGCAACAACTGCCATTCAGGCTGATACCTGTAAGTGAAGATTGGCCTGGTGTTAACACATACTACATTTTTAAAAATTGAACTAATACTGTGGTCTCAAATAAAATGTGCGTTTTGGAAGTTGGATAAGATACTCTAAAAGTTTTATTAAGGTAGTCATATAACGTAGTATATTCAGAGCTTCAAGTTTGTGTTTGTTTTTGTCAGTTGTGGGGCTTGGACTCTGAGCTTGGGTGCTGTCCCTTAGCTCTTCAGCTCAGGGCTAGCACTCTACCACTTAAGCCACAGCACCACTTGCAGTTTTCTGGTCGTTTATTGGAGATAAAGAGTCTCATAGACTCCCCGGCTGGCTTTGAACCGTGATCCTGAGATCTCAGCCTACTGAGTAGCTAGGATTATAGGCGTGAGCCACTGGCATCTGGCCTTAGCTTCAAGTTTTAACAATTAAATCTCCATGAATTCTTCACATTCAAGATAGCAAGTATAACCATTATTCTCAAAAAGTCCCTTTGTTCCTCTAAAACCCCTTTCTACCACCTTTGTCCTCAGGTAACTCCTGGTCTCTCTAAGTCTCTATAATTTTCTAGAATTTCATATGAATAAAATCAGGCATGAAATACTCTTTTTTTAAATTTTTTTTATTGTGAAAATACCATACCGAGGGGTTACAATTACATGGGCAAGATAATGAGTACATTTCTTATCAAGCATTGTTGCCTCCTCCTTTGTTTCCCCTTCCCATCCCTTGCCATCTCCCCCCCTTCTGCCACTCTCCTACCCCCCTCTCTGAAATACTCTTTTATACTTTTTTTAAAATGATAAGAAAATTTAATGTTATTTATCAATTAAAAATAAATAATGAAGCTGGGCACCAGTGGCTCACACCTGTAATTCTAACTACTGAGGAGGCTGAGATCTGAGGATTGTGGTTCAAAGCAAGCCTGGGCAGGAAAGTCCATGAGATTCTACCTACAATTAACCACCAGAAAACAAGAAGTGGCTCTGTGGCTCAATGGTAGAGCACTTGCCTTGAGCTGAAGAGCTCAGGAACAGCACCCAGGTCCAGAGTTCAAGCCCCATGACTGATTAATAAATAAATACTAAATTAATAAGGAGCCAGGCACTGATGGCTCATGCCTGTAATCCTAGCTACTCAGGAGGCTGAGATCTGAGGATTGCAATTCAAAGCCAGCCCAGACTAGAAAGTCTGAGACTTCTTCCAATTAACCACCAAAAAGCAAGAAATATAGCTGGTTTTAAATGTTAGTGCTAGCCTTGAGCAAAAAAGAAAACTTAGTGATCACATGTATAGTGTATAACATGTGTACACCGATATATGTTATAGACTATAATAGACAATTTGCTCCAGGAAAGTTAGAATGAACTTGTGACTTTAAATGAGCATCATTATTCCACAATACTGTGAAATTGGGAAATTATGTAATTACTTAATCACAATCAAAAAAAAAAAAAGAACCCTGGGGAAGGTAGGGAGGGAAAGGATGGTAGGGGGAAAACAATGGAGGGGGTAACAATGCTCAAGAGGAAGTGTACTCATTACCTTTCTCATGTAACTGTAATCCTCTGTATAGTATCTTAACAATAAAAAAAAAAAGAAAAGAAAAAGCTTAGGGACAAGTGTCCAAGCCAAGTTTAAACTCTTAAGATGGACAAAAGAGAAAGAGAGGAGAGAGACACAGGGAGGACTTTAATACCTCACAGTTTAAATGCATCTACTTTATGAAATCTAGGATTCACTCTTGACAAGTAGAATAGGAAGAATAACTGTAAAATTATCTCAAGTCTGGAAACTAATATTATAATATGAACTTCATATTAAAGTAAGAAGAAAACAGTAATGTCTGATTTACTCAATAAATGTTTACCTATAGCAACACCATTTCACTTTTCACTTTTACTGAGCATAATTACTTCAAGACTCATCCCTACTGTTGCCTATATTGATAGCTCTGTACTGACTAGTATTCCATTGTGTAGATACACTGTAATTTGTTTAGTCATTCATCTAATGGTGAATATTAAGTTTCCAGGTTTAGGCTGCTGTAAATAAAACTATTATGAACTTGCATACAGAAATCTTTATGTAACAGTTGCTTTAATTTTTCTTGGGTAAGTACCTAAGAGTAGAATGGACAGGTATTAGATATATATAGATAGATAGATGTAGATATATCTAGATATGTATATTTAACTTAATAAGCAATGTTTAACTTAATAAGCACTTTTACAATTTATAAGCTCACCCTCAGTGTATAAAAGTTAGGAGTGGAGATGTAGCAGTGATACAGCACTTCCTAGCATGAATAAGGTTCTGTGTTCATTCCCCAGGACTGTAAAAAAGAAAAGATTGTGTTGCTTTTTCCCTCAAACTCATTAGTGCTTGCTTATCTTCTTTTCATTATTTACCAGTTTTTAATTTTTGTGAACTTCATTGCCAATTTATTCTTTCATAAATCTTTCATATGTAAGAAATCTGCCTAACTCAAGATCACAAAGGTTTTATTCCTGTTCTTTAGAAAAAAAAAATTATGGCCTGAGAATGTGGCTTAGTGGTAGAGTGCTTGCCTAGCATGCATGAAGCCCTGGGTTCGATTCCTCAGTACCACATACACAGAAAAAGCTAAAATGGTGCTGTAGCTCAATGGCAAGAGTGCTAGCCTTGAGCAAAAGAAGCTCAGGGGGGCTGGGAAGGTGGCTCAGTGGTAGAGTGCTTGCCTTGCATGCATAAGGCCCTGGATTCGATTCCTCAGCACCACATAAGCAGAAAAAGCCAGAAGTGGTGCTGTGGCTCCAGTGGTAGAGCGCTAGCCTTGAGCTGAAGAGTTGAGGGACAGCGCCCAGACCCAGAGTTCAGGCCCCATGACCAGCAAAAAAAAAAAAGAAGCTCAAGGACAGTGCCAAGGCCCTGAGTTTAAACCCCAGGGACTGGCAAAAATAAATAAATAGAATTTTACTCATTATCTAATTGATGTAAACTGTAACCACAATAACAATAAAAAATAAATTTTAAATTACATAGTTTTAGCTATGATGTTTAGATGTATAATCTATTTGAATGTAATTCTTGTAGTTGATATGGAGTATGTATTGAGGTTCTTTTTTTTTTTGCCTGTAGATACCTAGTTGTTCCTTTATACTTTCATTGAGTGTTAATTGTTCATATTTGTGTAGTCCTATTTCTCAACTTTAGGTCTTAAATTCCAGAAGTACTAGTTTTCTAACTTTACTCTTCTTTTGAAAAATGCTTTGGAATGTTCTAGGCCTTTTGTATTCTCATCTGAATTTTAGAATTAGTTTTTCAATCCCTACTAAGGAAAAACAAGAGAGACAGAAGAAGAAACCAAGTACTAATGGCTCACCTCCAGAATCCTAGCCACTCATGTTGCTGAGATCTGATGGTCATTATTTTTAGGCAGCCCAAAGACAAAATTAGAAGTTTATCTCCAGTTTATCAGCAAAAAATCTGAGCTGGAGATGATGTGGGTCAAGTGGTAGTATAAACGCAAAAAATTCAAGTAAGAACGTGAGACTCTGAGTTCATGCCCTATTATCAGCACAAAAAAAAAAAGAAAAAACTTTTTGCAAGTCTAGTTGGTATTGTGCTGAATCTACATACCAATTTTTGATTGTTTATATCTAGTAAATATTACATCTTATAATTCTTTTTCTTTTTAGTAAATACTGGATGATCCCATTTCTCAAACCTTTTTTTCTTTTTTAAAAAAATGAAAACAGTTTATTTTCAACATTTAGATAGCTACTTAAA